CCAAAGGGTTTTCTTCAGATGCAGATTCAACAGTCACTTCTGTACCATATACTTCAGAGGATGAAGAAACATCTTCAAGAAGCAATGGTTCAGATCTTTTAACAGTCCAGATCAAACTTCTAGCAGTCTCAGCAAATCTGAGCTTCGCATTATCAGAACATAAATTCTTCAGATTTGAGGCTACAGTATTGAATCTGTTGATGAAGCTATTCCAGATAGCATCAGATTCATTTGCATCCATGGTTGACAGACATCTCTTCTGAACAGAGCCTAAATACATCTTTATTTCTTTCAGAAAACTTGTAAATAAATTATCAACATTCAGCCTAGATTTTGGTTTTAGAAGGGTTTCCAAAGTGAAAGGCTTAGGTTGAGATGGTGGTGGAATGGTAAATTCAGGAATAATAATTAGAGGGCTAGGATAAACTGGTTTCTTTTGGGCTGACATGATACGAAAAAATGGTTTGATTCTGCGAATACTAGTTTTTTTTTTCTTCTAATTTAAATATAAACATGACAACAATTGATCAAATTAATAAATTTCTTCTTAATAATTTTATAAAATATAGAATTTAATTACCAAAATTGATAAAATAAAAAACAATAAATACACACTTATAAATGAAAAGACAAAAAGTTACAAATTAATTAAAAACCAAAATTACAAATTAAAAAATTAAAAATTAAAATAATTTTTTTTAATGTTAGTGCACTGTCATTATAAAAAAGTGTTACACATACCTCCAATCAAAATACTTTAAAGTATAAAATCATATAAGTAATTTAAAATTTACAGGCTGATTTGACGGGATACATGATTGTCATTGATTGACAGTGTACAAATAATTTACACAGTAAGTGCACCATCTTTTTTCTCTAATAAAAAATAATCAAAACTAAAATTAAATCTATATTTTACAAAAGACATTATTGGAAAAACCAAGTCTCATATATCGATAATTCGGTCCACCCACTGTTTATTTTCACGCTCCAATTGTCTAGTCCTGAGCTTGAGGGAGTGTGTTAAGAGTCCCACGTCGGATAATATATGGCCTGAACATGTGTATATAAGTGGGGGAAATCCTCACCTTACCAACCAGTTTTGTAGGGTTGAGTTAGGCTCAACCACATTTATTAACATGGTATCAAGAGTCTCGTTTAAGATTCGATGGGGCCACCTACTATGGTTTCTGCTATCGAACTCCCACCATTTATATCCACGCACCAAGCTCAATAGTGCTGGGCGTGACAGGGTGTTTGGGAAAAACCCAAGTCTCACATTGGTTAAAGATACAATCTACAAAAGGTTTATATAGAGTGGAACATGTAACACCCCATTTGAATTATTGTCTTTTTATACCTTATTGTGTGCATAATTGGTTGTGATGTCTTTGATAAGGGTATGAGGTTAAGAGCGAGAGTGAGAGCTGACCTTAGTTGGGGTAATGCACTATGCCAAAAAAGACCTTTAGCAGCGCTTAAAAGCGCTGTCAAAAGTGGCACTGCTAAAGGTAAAGGCAGCGCTTTTTTTAAAGAAAAAGCGCTGTTAAAGGATCCCTTCAGCAACGCTTTTAGCAGCGCTTTTTTCACCCTATAGCAGCGCTTTTATAAGCGCGGCCTATTCCCCCCAACCCCCCCCTTTAGCAGCGCTTTCACAAAGCGTTGTCTTAGATCCCCCCCTTTAGCAGCGCTTTCACAAAGCGCTGTCTTAGACCCCACCTTTAGCAGCGCTTTTACAAAGCGCTATCATAGCCCCACTTTAGCAGCGCTTTTTAGAAGCGCTGTCTTAGACCCCCCTTCCCAACCTATAGCAGCGCTTTTGTAGCGCTATGTTTGTAACCTTTAGTAGCGCTTTTTTGTAAAAGCGCTGTCTAATGTCCCAGATTTTAATTTTTTTTTAAATAATCACGCTGTTTTGTATATTTACCAACAACATGCTTATATTACACAAACCTGCTTAATCAAATAATCACGCTGTTTTGTATATTTTAATTTTTTTTTTATAAATAATCACGTTGTTTTATTATTATTATTATTATTATTATTATTATTAATTAGATTAAATGAATTAAAAACCTAATTAATTAAGGGATTAAGAGAGAGTTAGTGGAAGAATTAGTCAATTAACACGTAAAAGAGGAAAAAGGTAGAGAAAGGAGAGTTAGGGTAAAAAGAACCAATTCTTCAGTGTTGTCAAGGAAAAAAACTTCAATCTAAGGTAAGGGGGAGAATGGATTTCAATATGGGTGAATTAACATGAGAGGGTAGTGAGAGGTCTTTTCTCTCGTAAGAATTTTGTTTGTTCTTACCTTTTTAGTTGATTTTCGTGGTATTATGATTTCTCTGCGATTACTGTTATTGTTGAATGATCATTGTATGATGTTGTACGTATGATGCTGGTACGAATATGAAAATTCGTGTGGAAATTTCCTGAAGCTGTGATAAAATACTGTGGATTAACAGATCTGAAAACCAAGGGTTTAACAGTAATCGAAACTAGATCTAATAACTAGAATCTTGAAAGAATAGAAGATAAGATTCATTGGAATCGATTAAAATCTGGGTTTGAGGGTGAATGGGAAGATAACATGATGAATCTTGGGTAGAAACTCGTGGGAATGTTGAAATATGAGTTTTTTGACAGATCTGCTGGTCATACGCGTATTGGAGGTGTCAATACGCGTATGGGGGACTTCCCAAGGGCTGTACGCGTAGCATACGTGCCCTGTCCCTAGTGCCAGCCCAACCATCTGGTGATATGTGTATGGTACGCGTATGAGGCTTGGAAATATACGTATGGGAGTAGCCATACGCGTAAGGGGTGACTCTGAGGGGGTTTTTGGGAAGTAGAAGCCTCTGGTCGTACGCGTATGGTAGGGCTGATACGCGTATGACAGTAGGCAGTACGTGTATGGACATCTTGGGATTACTTTTCCCCAGTTTTTGTGATTCCTATCCATTGTTCGCTTGGAACACATTTCTGTTTACTCGGTAAGATTAATAGAACTAAATGAACTTAAGAAATATTAGTGATAAATTAAATCGAGAAAATATGGAATTATCTAGGTGTGCCCTTATGGGTGTGTTTTGATGAGTATGAGCCATGATTGTCGAATTTGGACAATCTTGTACGATTGTGGTAATTCCCGAGAGGATTACGGTGAGCGGATGGCTCGTGTGGATCTTTGATGATTGTGAATTATGCTTGAATTATTATATTGCATAATTGTGTTGTCATGCATTTCATGTCATGTGTCTTGTGGAGATGACTAGGTGGGAATCCATGATGGGTGCCTAGTTTCATCCGGACTTCATGTGGAAGTCGTTGTGGAGATAAGTTGTAGTTCAGAGGAACGTATATGACTTATCCGGATTCCGAAGGGAATCAGGTTCTAGGGTGAACCATATGTGATTGTGTTGGTACCACATGCATTGTGTCGAGTCAGTGAGTCACATTGCATATTTGTATTTGAATATGGGCTATTGATGTCGAGTGATCGAGGTGGCACGTGTATGTGCGTTGTATGTGTATGAATTTATGTGTGGTGTGTAACTACTCCTTAGCATGTGTATTTCACCGCTTATTTATTGAATGTAGTTCTCACCCCTTTTATGTTTGTTGCGTCTGTGCTCCTTGGGGAGTCCAGATGACCAGGTACCTGAGTAGTGCTTGGAGTGTGTTGCTATTTGGTCGAGTCCTAGGAGTCGCTCTGATACGTAACATGGGATGACAGGATTACGTTATATTTTGCTTATTTTCTTGATTTACTGTTACGTATCTTTTATTTGTTGGATGGAGAATGTATGATCTCCTTGTGGTGGAGATTATGTTTAAACAATTGATTTTTATTTCGCTGTTTAATTGAAAGCTAGATAGTATTGGTTTTTTTTATGAAGTGACTTAGTGTGACATCCTACTTGTTTTGAGAACTCTGATGTACTTTTATGTAATATTTCCGTATATATTTTATAATACACGTACGGGGTAGAGTGGGGTGTTACAACACACCTCACCTTACCAACCGATTTTCTAAAATTGAGTTAGGTCAAACTCTAATTTTATCATGGTATCACGAGCCTACGATTTGGGCCACCCACTATTTATATATGCCCACAAAGCCCAAAAAAAGTGTTGGGCGTAAGGGGGTGTATTGGAAAAACCAAGTCTCATATATCAATAATTCGGGCCACTCACCGTTTATTTCCACGCTCCAGTTGTTTAGTCCTGAACGTAAGGGTGTGTGTTAAGAGTCTCACATCGGATAATATATGGCATGAACATATGTTTATAAGTGGGGGCAATCCTCACCCTACGAACCAGTTTTGTAGAGTTTAGTTAAGCCCAATCACATTTATTAACATGGTATCAAGAGCCTTGTTTAAGATTCGGAGACCACCTACTATGGTTTCCACTATCGGACGACCATCCATCATTTATTTTCATGCTCCAGATGTTCAATCCTGAACACGAGGGGTGTGTTAAAAGTCTTACATCGAATAATATATGACCTGAACATGTCCTCATAAATAAGGACAATCATCACCTTACCAATCAATTTTGTAGGGTTGAATTAGATTCTACCACATTTTTTAACAGACATACATAACATTATAAAAATAAAATTACAAGTTTTTCTTTTAGAAATATATTTTTTCAAAAAAAAAATCAAAACTAAAATTAAATCTATTTTATATAAGATAATAGATAAGATTAAAAAGGAATTACAAGTCTTTATTTGTTGAGGAATGTTCTTTTTTCAATAAAAATTGAGTTGTTGCAACAAAAACAAAACAATATAATAGAACGTTTACTTTCAATAAAAGCGCGTGAATAAACGCACTGGTCCATGCGGGTTTTATTTCTTTGAACGTTAGAAAAAACAAGTTCCACGCGCATCTGTCATACAAATTCCACGCGCAGACACGTGTTCAGGAACAGGTAGATACATATATATCCAACATCTTCGTTTGTTTCAAACACAACCCAAATTCACTCATTCATGTCTGTTTCTTCTGCTGCTTCTTCTTTATCATCTTCTCAAAATCATCAGTTTCTTCTCATTCTCTCTTTCATTTTTCACATCAACAAAAAAAACAACAAAAACCTTGTAATGGGTCTTTTACTTTCAAGAACTTTGGCTTGCAAATTCTTTTACCCTTTGCTTTTCTCTAAGGATGTTCATAATGATTTCTTTCCTCAACAATTGGAAAACATGATCAGTTTGGTGTCTCCTAGAACGGGAAGACATTTGCAGCGATATGAAAAAGGGTGTCGTCAAGTTGTGGGGTGTGTTTCTCTCTTGCTCTTTTTTTTCTCTTGTGATTTGTTCTTTTGGGGTTTCTTAAAAAACGGATTTTTAATGTTTGAAGTGGAAGATAATGAACAAATTTTGAAGTTTTTAAGGTTTTTGTCTATTGGGGTTTCTTAAAAATTGGATTTTTAATGTTAGGAATTGAGGATGGTCGACAAATTTTGACAATTTTAAGGGTTTTTCCCAATTGGGGTTTCTTAAAATTTGAATTTTTAATGATTGGAATTGAAGATAATTGACAATTTTAAGGGTTTTTCTCATTTTGGGGCTTGTTAAAGTTTGAATTTTTAATGTTTGGAATTAAAGATGATGGACAAAATTTGAAATTTTTAAGGGTTTTCTCAATTGGGTTTTTTTTTCTTAATGATTTCAAAGTGTGCTATTTGATTATTGAATCATTTGAAGGAAAAGGAAAAAAAAGTTTTTATTTTAATTAATTAATTTTTTTTTTTGTGAATTCAATTTGAATTTGACTTTATTGTTGTTTGATTTATATGAATTGAATTGTTAATCTAACTATTTTTTTTTTTTAATGAACAGATGCATACCTTACAGATACAAAAGCAATGGAACCCAAGAAAATGAAATAGAAGTTCTTTTGATTAGTGCTCAAAAGGGTAGTGGAATGCAATTCCCAAAGGTATTGTTTGTTTCTTTCTCAAAAACTTGGTTTCAATTTTCAAACTTTTTATTGTTTCTGTTTCTAACATGTTCTTTGTCTGTTGTTTTGATCACAGGGTGGTTGGGAAAGTGATGAATCCATGGAACAAGCTGCTTTGAGAGAAACCATAGAAGAAGCTGGGGTCATTGGAAGTGTTGAAGTAAGTATTTGGAATCACTTGTATTCATAATCACTTTTTTTAATCAAATAATAATTGGTTCTTTGATTCTTACTTTATTTGTGTGTATTTTGGTTGTTTTTCTTGCAGAGTAATTTGGGGAAATGGTATTATAAGAGCAAACGCCAACCCATTATGCATGAAGGATACATGTTTCCTTTGCTTGTTAGCAAGGAGTTGGATAATTGGCCAGAAATGAACTTAAGAAAAAGAAAATGGGTAAGTCCAAATTCATCTTTTTTCACAATTGCGTCGCGCTTCGTGATATTGCATAGAGTCGCAACCTCAGTTGTTTGGTTTCACTGAAACATAAAAAAATTTTGATGTTTCAGATAAAACTGAGGTTGCGCAAATCACAATTTAGAATCTTTAATCATTAAAGTCAAGTGATTTCTAATGACTATGATTGATTGATTGACTTGTTAATGTGCTTTTTGCAATCTCAATCGATTGCAGCTAGATTGAGATTGCAATCAAATCACAATTTAGAATCTGTAATCATTAAAGTATATGAATTTAATGATATTTGATGACGATTGATTCACCGTGTAAAAAACTATTTTAGTGACCGTACATATGAATTAAATTTATTTAAGACTATTTTCTTAATCAAGTGGTATTTATAAATTTGTGTCCTAAAGTTTTTTTTTTCATTTCTATGATGCAGTTGACTGTGGATGAAGCAAAAGAAATATGCCCATATGCATGGATGAAGGAAGCTTTAGATGAATTGGTTAGTAGACAACAAACAACCAATTGATGAATCTAAGTTTTTTAGGTTATAAAATTATAGGCATTCTCTTCTCTCTTGCTATTGGATTCTACAAAGTGGTAGAACAGAAGCACTCAAAAGACATTTGGACATAGAAAATGAAACCAAAAATCAAGAATTGGGAAATTGTGCAACACAAGAATTTGTCAATTTGTTGTCCCTTTGGATTTGTTCATGTCTTCAAATTTGTATGTGAGTTGGCAAGATCAGCAGCAAATTATGAGTTCTTAGAGTGTAGTTGAGATCTAACTAGAAAATCTTTGTAGATGTACAAAAAGGTCAATTCATTCATTATTTCATTCAATTCATTCTTTGGCAATGTATCTAATAAGCTATAAGCTATGTGTAAAATCTACACTCTTTTTGTAATTTGCTGTTGAAGACTATAATTGGTTTCTATTGCTATCTCACTTTGATTCATTTGTGTTCTTTTGTTTGAAATTACTTTGATTGGCATCACTTTGGATTGAAGTAACATGATGAGATGAACGAAGATACATATATTTTGATCTATCTTAAAAATATTAGATCATCTTCAGATCATTAACTTCAGCGTCAGAGTGTTTTTAAATATTATCATTCCAGACAAAAGTTTAGAAAATATAAATGGATTTAGAAAATTCATCTTTTGATCTGACTCATCCTTCACTCCCATGAGCAACTCCGGTCTTACCGAAATATATTTCATCCTATTTAAAAGTATAAAATAATTGAGATTTTGGTTCCTTTTACAAAATGGAGAAAGTTCTACAAGCATAAGTAGTTCCACTACTTTTCCAAAGTGAAGAAAAAGACAAGATTATTGTTGAAAGTGTTTTATCTTGTATACCAATTATTGTAAAGTTATTATTCTATTGAAACTTCTTTTTTCACATCAAAGTAAAAGCCACTTTTCATCTTAAAAAGGAAAAGGAAATAATTTTGATGCCATCAAACTATTAATAGTCTTTGTGACAAAAAAAAAACGGCTATATATGTTAGGTGAGTTGCAGCTGTTCACACAAAAGAAAATGAGATTTTATATTTTTTTAAAGCTGTTCACACAAAAGAAAATGATTTTTTAAATATATTTTTTAATAAAAAAAGAAAATTATTGAGATTTGAGAAGATATACTCCCTACCTACATCCTTAAAGCATGTATTTGGTCCAAATTTTGAGATACATCAAGGAAGTGTTTGGTTTCACACTTCTTATTGTCATATTAAATGTGGTTTAAGTATATCTATACATATATTTTAAGAAAATGGTTGAATATAATAACTTTCATGATAAAATAGTGTTGTTGACTAAAAATACATTTATTAATAAAGTAATTAGTTGACTAAAATATATTTACATGAAGATTAAAATGTAATAAATACATTAGTAGAAATGAGTACTTAAAATTATATTAGAAAAAGACAAAAAAATGAATGATAGTATAAAATAATTTTATACTACCATTTTAATAATGATCATGTATTTTGTTTATCATGTTAATATTTTAATATAATATGATTAAATGATAAATTTTTATTGAATGATGATGGATAAGTGTGGACTACTTAAGTAAGATACTAATATAGGTGGTGGGAGCTATTCAATCTAAATGAGTTTATAACGATGCTAATTTTTAGATACTAATTTATCTATTTTGAATGTAAATGTTTTATATTATCATCATCATTTGTTTATATTATTTTATAATAATTAAAATTAAATTTTTTTTTTAAATATTTATGATTAATTGATAGTGTAAAATTCTTTTACAATTTCAGCGTATTTTAATTAAATTTTTATAAAAAGAATTAATTATTATGCATATTAATTTATTATCACCGCCTGTTTGCATTATAAAATTTTATAGATGATTAAAATAAAAGTTAAATTTTTTATAATATCTAATATTTATAATTGATTGACGATGTAGATTTTTTTAACGTTTCAATGTGACAGTGTAATTTTTTTCACAATCAATTAAACAAGGACACATGCCTTCAAATAATTTATAAAAAGGAATTAATCGACTAATTTTAAAAAAAGTTATAACAGATATATTATTATAATTACTATATTAATCATAGTTTAAAGTGAGAAAAAGCCATTTCTATTATAAAAATAGAAATCAATAAATTATTAATCACTAAAAATCATGATTGCAATAGATAGAAACCCCCTTCTAGGTACTTTACAGCATGAAAAATTATAAAACCATGGCTGCATTCAAACAGATTTGAAATATTTTTTTACTGAAGAAATTACGGTGTTGTATACATATAAATTTAATAGTTTAATGCGAATAAAGCATAATGGAAAACATTTTTACATACATTCAGTTAGAACTACCATGTTTTCATATCACACTATTAATAAATAGTATTTTAAAGGAGAAATCAATGAATACAAAAAAAATATGATTGCCATAGATAGAAACATTCTTTTGATAATCCTCGTATGTCTAAGAAATAGTAATTATATATAAGCGTATTTAATTAAGAAGGTAATCATATATTTTTTTATAACATAATATCATATTTTGTATTTAAGATCAAACAAGAATGTGAATGTTAAAGATAGAATAACACAATATTTTATATGCTAAAAAATTATTGTGTCTTTTTAATATTAACCTAAACATTAAATTATGATATTTCTTGAGATTAAGATATGCCATACCCTCATTTTCACCTTAGCTTTCTCATCATATATTCATCATATCATCTCATTAGCATATCATTTGGTCTGTGGTTCCCAAGCATGATTGGTCACAAGTTTGAGTGTGAAGGATAGGGATTAGGGTTTTCCTCTTGATTGCTTTTAAGGTTTTCACATGGTTGTCTTGTGCTTATTGCCTTTGTGAATTAAGTTTGATACTTAACATGTCATCTAATCAACATACCAAAGAAATGTGGTACTTGTTTTGTTCTTCTTTGTGTTCATCTAAGTGTGCATGATTGGATTGAGAAGATCCTGGTTTCAAATCAAGGCAAGTGGGAATTTAAGAGTTGTGGTATTTAAATAAAGTCTCCTGATCAAGACATGTTCACTATAGCGCAAGGAGTCTCATTTTGGTCAAGAAAGATTCAAAGTTGATTCATTGATTCAAGAATGGTTCATGTGTTTAGGTCAACCAACCATTCGCCAACTTGTGATTTTTTTTATGTTTTCTTGAATCCAAAGGCACAATGATGAGAATTTGAGTACCAAATGAAGAAATCTTGATTAAAACTTGAATAATCATGAGGATAACTTGAAGATTGGATGAATTTTTGAAATCTATTTTGGGCAAAATGTCACAAATGGACTCCTTTATAACTTTTCTTCAAGGCCCAAACATCAATTCAACCTCTAAAGACCTCAATTTTGGAAATGAACAAGTTGCCAAAATGCTTAAAACCTTGTCATGACCCTCACTTTGCACCTAAGTCATTTCCAGCTCAAGCATATATTTACCCCACTTCTTTGTGCCTTTTGGTAAGCTTATGGCAAGGTTCATTTGGCCTAACTTTGGCTTAAAATGCACGAGGTAATCAAAGGTTATGATGTCATGAACATGAGGTCTCAAAATGCTAAACATGCCAAAAGCTGGTTCGACCTAATGCCTGACCAAGAAACTAGGTCACAACCTAAACTTCCAATCAATTCCATTTTCAATTCAAGCCTCCTCTTGATGTGATTTTTTTTTTGCAATGAAATGAACAAAATGCATGAAGCAAAATAAAAAACGCACGAGTGGATTTCATTTGACATAGCTGCAAACACGGTGTCATGAACTCAGTTTCTCACGTAAGTTTTTGGTCACAAAATCACTCAAAACTTCAACTGGGACCACCTGCACATGTGTGAACTTCTTGCGAGATCAAAACATGTGTAATGTAACGCCCCAATTTATTTTAAATTATTGTCCATAATTTAATTATGTGATGTTGTGTAATTGTATATGTTGTTTGGTGTTTTTGTGTGCTTAAAATACACTTGGTATGGGGTAGTGACCTTAGAACTTAGAATTTAAGGTGTTAGGGGTGTGTGAGCAAAAGTGTAAAAATTGGAGATGTTATGAGTAGAACTTAATAATGGGTATTAGTAATATTTATTTAATTAAATATTTGATAAAAATTATTATTATTATTTTAATTAGTTGTGTTACATAATAATAATAATAATAATAATAATAATAATAATAATAATAATAATAATAATAATAATAATAATAATAATAATAATAATAATAATAATAATAATAATAATAATAATAATAATAATAATAATAATAATAATAATAATAATAATAATAATAATAATAATAATAATAATAATAATAATAATAATAATAATAATAATAATAATAATAATAATAATAATAATAATAATAATAATAATAATAATAATAATAATAATAATAATAATAATAATAATAATAATAATAATAATAATAATAATAATAATAATAATAATAATAATAATAATAATAATAATAATAATAATAATAATAATAATAATAATAATAATAATAATAATAATAATAATAATAATAATAATAATAATAATAATAATAATAATAATAATAATAATAATAATAATAATAATAATAATAATAATAATAATAATAATAATAATAATAATAATAATAATAATAATAATAATAATAATAATAATAATAATAATAATAATAATAATAATAATAATAATAATAATAATAATAATAATAATAATAATAATAATAATAATAATAATAATAATAATAATAATAATAATAATAATAATAATAATAATAATAATAATAATAATAATAATAATAATAATAATAATAATAATAATAATAATAATAATAATAATAATAATAATAATAATAATAATAATAATAATAATAATAATAATAATAATAATAATAATAATAATAATAATAATAATAATAATAATAATAATAATAATAATAATAATAATAATAATAATAATAATAATAATAATAATAATAATAATAATAATAATAATAATAATAATAATAATA